GATAATAAATCTTCCAGTGAGAGGGATAATAGGCCCCAAATAAAAGTCAGACCAAGAAGGCTCAGGCAGGGGAAGAAGTTTCTAGAACCTTAGAGGGGCAGCCTCAACTAAAATTCCTGGGCATCTGGAGAGGGAGGGTGACTTGGCTTCTGGCCATTTCTAAGTCAGGGAGAGGGTGCCCAGAGGCCTGCACTGGGCCTGGCCTCGTGGCTATGTGATGCCTGCTCACCCACCTGAGCAAGGCCACCCCCCTGCTCCCACCCAAGGGAGCCACTCACATCTTGAAATCTCTTCTCCAGAGTCAGGCGGATGTTGGTCTCGATGCTGGTCCGTTTCTTCCTCTTCCTGCCAAACACTTCGCTGAGGGTGGGGTAAGTGCTGGGTGTGCTGGCGGAAGGGTCTGACGGGGAGGACTCTGGAGGTGAAGGAGACAGGAGGCTCAGAGAAGGGGACAAGTGGCCAGTCTGGCCTCCATAACAGACCTCAGGTCTAATAGCCCTTTTCTGGGGGTCCTGCAGTGGCATTTCTCAGGGCCAGCTCCCTCCCCCACCAGGGGATCCAGAACTGACCCAGTCCTGCTTCTCCTTGCTGCTCTGGGCAAAGGTCCTCCAGGCCTCCCACTGCAGAGTCTCCAGTGTCTGTGGTCATGGCTCTGGGGGCGGCATGTGTGGGGGTGAGTGGTGCAGGCAGAGCTCCTGTGAGTCGGGCTCTGGGCCTGTTTTGAATATGTGAGTACCCAGTACAACGGGAATGACAATCTGACCCAAAGCCTTGGCACTCAGTGGCAGAATACTGGTGCTGAAGCCATTTGTTGTCCATCAGTGCATGTGCAGGCTGCAGGGTGGGTAGGAGGGACCTACTTCAGGAAGGTGGGGGGGGGTCACACCAGAATGACCCAAGAGGGTCTTTCCCAAGTGTGCTAGAACATTCTGAGCATTCATTCTACTTCAGTGCTTCAGGGACAGCCTGTCAGGGAGGGGTCTTCCTTACTCCTTCCATGCTTCCACATGGAGGGCCTTCTGTGAGGGCCACAGCCCTGGCTGTCAACCCTGCCCTTCCTACCCCTTCCACAAGTAATGGCTAACCCTCACATGTCCACTGAACAAAGCCTGGCACTGAACATGGACTCACTCCTTCCTTTTCCACCTAGGCCAGGGTTTTTCAACCAGGGGCTGCTCTGCACCTCCATCACTCCTGTGGGGACACCGGGCAATGTCTGGAGACATTTGGGGGTGTCTCAACTGGGATGGCAAGGGCTACTGACAGCTAGTGGGTAGAGCCCAGGGATGTTGCTGGACAGGCCAGCCTCCAACAACAAAAAATTGCCTGGCCCTACCTCGTCACTCCAAACACTTGGCCTTTGACCTGTCCCTTTGACCTCCTGGCAGGACTGGATCCTGATCGAATTCTCCTGCCCATGACCTCTTGCTGTTAGGCTTTCCCAAACAGCCTTGATTACAGGAACTACCTGTCCACTGACACCTGCTCCAGACTAGCCAGGCAAAGACCCAATGCTGGGACTGTGCCTCCCCACCCCAGAGAGACCCCAGAGGGACTGCTGCACTGTCTCCATGGCTTAGTCCTGTTGCAGACAGCACTCTGAGTGTGTGTCTAACTGGCAGACCCAAATGTTGCCTGAATGGAGACCTAGGGGGTAACAAATGGAAGAGAACAGGAGCAAGTCTTCATGGCCACAGACCCAAAGCCTCCTGCTGCAAAGGGCTTTCTTAGTAACAAAGCTCACATCTTCATCTCTACTTGCCTGTCTCCCTGTGCCTCATTTCTGTTCATTCTAGAATCAGGAGAAGAAAGGGGTGTTATGCCTCAATCCCAACACAGACAAGTCCCCACAAGAGTCCCTGTGGGACCATCTGGGGCCCTGCCACGCTCATTTCCCAGAGGCCCACCTGCATCGTTGAGCCACTTCTCCAGCAGGGGTTTGAGCTTGCACATGTTCTTGAAGCTCAGGTTGAGGGCCTCGAATCGAGAGATGGTCGTCTGGCTGAAGTCATTGCCATACAGCTTTCCCATTGCCAGCCCCACGTCTCCCTGTGCAGGGGATGGAGGGGGAGGAACATGAGGGATATGTTTCTCCTTTTTGCCCACAATCCCGATCTCCAATCACATATTAGGCCACCACCTCAAGCTCTTACCCATCGCCTTGGCTCCTCCCAACGTCTTTTCCCTCTAGGATGGAAAATTGTCTTATTTCTTTCCCTAGTCTCAAAGTGGGCTGGGCCCAGGGCCTTCATTCCCTCTCCCCTCCACCAGCAATGTCCTCAGTATCCCTACTGCTGGCAGCTGCTCCCTAGTCTCAGGAAACTCAGGGACATGCTGAAACCTCAGGTTGCTCTGGAAATGTGCACTTGGGAAGCCCGCTCCCCACTCACTCAACTCAGTTTCTTCCATCCTCTCTCCCCATACCAAACCTGGGTGAAGCCCAGCTTAATGCGCCTCTGTTTGAAGGTCTTGGCAAACTTCTCCAGCTCCTCAAGGTCACTGGGCTCATCAGCCCCTCCAGAGCCAGGGAGATGCTTGGGCGCGGGGAGATGCTGTGAGGCGTCCAGATGGGGTTCTAGAGAGGATCCTGGCAGCCCAGGGCGCCCAACTGCCTAGTAGGGAACACATGCCCAGCTGACCACAAAGAGATACCAGGCCAAATGGGCATTCTTTGGTATTTGTTACCAATAGGTTCATTTAGAGAGTGAAAGCTCCTTGGGTATGTGGAATCTTATTTTTGCAATGGAGTTGAAATGGAAATTGGAGTTTCTACAGGGATGGCACAAATAACTGTGATTCCTGGGGCAGAAAAAGCAGAGAGCCACAAGGGAGGTGGCACTCTGGGTCTTAGTCTATGACTCACTGTGTGACTTTGAGCGGGTTACTACTTCCTCATATCAGTTATCCACCATAAAAAGAGCTATCAGGGCTGTTTACAGAGATTCCAAAAATAAATCTCAGAATGGGACAAGGAAAAGGTTGTTTGCCTTGCCTGTTTTCTTCCACAGAGCAAGGTGGCAGAAGTGTCCAATAGGTACTGACTAAAGATAACAGAAGACATCTGGGAACACATGACATTAACAGAACTTCACACAATTTCAAGCTCTTGTTGAAATTGCCACTTTAACTCCTTCACCACCATTTTCTTTGGTGAGAGTGTTGTGGTTCTGTTTTAATTTTTCAAGACAGGTTTTACTATGTAGCCCGATTTGACCTTGAACTCAGGATCCTCCTGCTTCAGTCTCCTGAGTGCTGGGATGACAAGCATGTGTTACCGTGGCCCAGTGAGCATTGTGGTTTTAGTAAAAGGTGTTTAATCAATGCTATCTCTTGATTTCATTTGTGATCGTCAGGAGATACCCTTAATCTTTTTTTCATAGGGAAATACACCCCACAGCCTATGCTCATTTAGTGTCAGGAATAATTCCAACCTTGAAATTTTTATTATTCCACAAAGATGAAGAGCAATTCGATCCTCTCAGAGGCTACTTCCCATGTAGAAAGGGCTGAATCTCCCTTCCAATCTCTTTTCCCAGTTTGCTGTTTTCTAGACTGAGTTGCTTCCTTCTCCCAAGGTATTCAGGCTTACCATTTGCTGTGCATCGTTATGACAAAGAACATAAAAGACCAGAGACAAGTTAAGGAAGGATTCTGATCCCCAGGAGGAGTCTTTTGGAATGGAATGGCTTGAAACCATCATAGATGGGTCCTGTTTTGCAGGGAGGGGGCATCTGGGGAGGGAATAGCACAGACCACACTCTCAGGGCAAAGTCTCACTATTCTTTGAAACTTTCTTTGCATGAATTCATTTCTTCTTTCATTTGCCCAACACTGAATTCTCTGCTACACCTTCATCCTCCCTCCTCCACACGCAATCAATTGCCAAATTGCACCGATCTCACTTCTCATTTCCTCTTCTCTGTTCTTATTATGACTCCAAGATGATCCCTTATTATCTCACCATAGGAAGATTTTTTTTCATACAGGGATTCTCTATGTTGCCTGGTACACCTTCAACACCTGTGCTCAAGCAGTCCTCCTGCCTCAGCCTCTCAGGTAGCTGAGACTATAGGTACATACCACCACACCTACCTGCCTAGGATAATCTTAATAATCTTCTACATGGTCTCTCTGCTCTCAGTCTCTTCATGCTCAAATATTGGAAGGTATGAGTTGATGCTCAATACTCTGTAGGACCTCTTCTAGATCAGAGTCTATAACTATGAAATTCAGAAGAAGCAGCCAGGAGATCACGTATAGCTTCTGATTGCTGGCGTTTCTTTTAAACACTAGGTGGCGCCTCACCTCCAAGGAGTTTTCTGTGGACTCCAGCCCTGGGAAAAGTCAGGGCCATTAGTGGGCCATGGGGATTTTAGCCCAGAGAAGGGACATTACAGGTCTCTGCAGCCATTCCAATCAGTCCATACAGAGCCAAGTGATGCAGTTATTAACTTCACAGACTTCAGTCCACCTGACCCCAGGAGTTGTGTTTCTGGGTTCTCATTCTGATCTTATTAGTGACTCTGGTCAAATCTCCTCCTCTGACTCTAGCTTGGATTTCCCCATGTGCCATCAGGGCTGGTTCCCAGCTGTTCCCTGTTGCCAGAGGAGCAAGTATCCTGCTAAAGGGGTGGGGAAACCCTGATGATTTGTGGTCTGCCCAGGACTGGGACAATACTGGGGAAAATGAGGGCTGTGGGTATTTTACCTGGGATGTCTGTGGGAGGAGGAGGCTGCTTTGTTGCTGTGGAAAGGGAAGAAGATTTGGCTGCAGACCTAGGTGAAAGGGGAGAGACAAAGGAGCAAAATCCAGGCCATCTGAAAACAAGCTGGACATCGGAACCATGCTATCTAATCACATCCCACGATCCATCTCAAGCCCTGTGGAGAGGCCCCTGTGGGCACTGCCAGGCATTGCCACATACAGGTGGAGGTGAACCAAGACGTTGGGATAAACAGAGATGTAAACAGCAGTCCCCAAACCAGTCCTTCTGCTTGTTTGCCTGCCTGGAGAGGCACAAAAGCTAAGGAGGTTCCAGGCAATCCACCTGGAATCTGATTAGCTAGGCCGAGGAACCCTCAGGGGAGGGGACACAGTGACTACAGAGAAGCCCAGCGGTAGCTGAGGGCTTCGGTCTTTCCGGTGCAGGATGCTACAAAGACCCAGCGCTATCTCCAAGAATGTCAGGGCACGCAGATGGCGCCATGCAGCCCTGAAGTCAGTGGGCCATTGGTCAGAGGCTCCAGGCAACCAGGACATGAGCTGAGGGAGAAGGGAAGGCAGGAATCTAGGAGTTCGGAAACTCCCTTGGGCAGTGTGGATACCCCTGCGTGTTATACTGCCTGGGGACCTCTTCTGTCCATGAAGGGCTCAGTCTGGTCGGTGGCTATGACAGGTGGGTCCTCCAGGGCCACAGCCAGAGCCTCTCACTCCCAACCACCAGAGCAGACAATGGGGCAGGTCACCCACATCACTCAGCACAAAGAAGCACCTTGAGGTGTCTGTTGTCCCTTGGCTGCTCTGGGTCACTGATGTATGACATCTTCTGATGTCGACCTTTACACCCTTCGATCTCAAAAAGTCAGGGCCTAATTAATTGTTCCTTATTAAAATAAGCAGGCGAAACCAGGAGCCTGTGGCTCAGTCACACCTATAATCCTAGCTATTTGGGAGGCTGACAAAGGGAGGGTGGCAGTTTGAGGCCAGCCCAGACAAATAGTTCATGAGACCCCAGTTCCAAAATAACCAGAGCAAAATGAACTGGAGGTATGGTTCAAGTGGTAGAGCACCTGCTTTGCAAGCATATACGACCTAAGTTCAAAAGGAAAGGGCCTGAGGCATGGCTCAAGCAGTAGAGCACCAGCCTAGCAAGAGCCAAATTCTGAGTTCAAACCCCAGTCCCATCAAATGAATTAATTAATAAGTAAATAAACAGGCAAGACATATTAGTCTAGAAACATTAAACTTAAGTTTTCCCAAGTGTACAGGGGTAATGCTGTACAAATGTATTAAATACGTAAGGTCTTATCTATATAGGTTTGATTATAGAAACTAACAAAATATTCTCTGAATAATGAAAATAAAATAAATAGGCAAGAGGGCTCTTACAAGGAGCCCTTGTCTGGGAATCTGAGGCATGACTCCAATGCAATCCTAACAATTATACTGCGTTCTAAAATGTCCAAGGCCTTTTCACATGCATTACTTCAAGTAAACTTTCAATAGCTTTGGGATGGAGGATTTTACTATTATCTCATTTTTGTGGAGGAGGAAATGGAAGCTCAGAGAGGTTAGGTGTGTTTTCTAAGGACACACAGCTAGTAAGTGATTTTAATTAAAAAAAAAAAACAGAAGAACAATGAGTCCTTCTGACTTTAAATTTTAAACTGGGGCTGAAGGCATGGCTCAAGTGGTAGAAAGCCTTGCTAGCATGAGGCTCTGAGTTCAACCCCCAGCATTGCCAAAATAAATAAATACATAGTAAATAAAATAAAAACTTTTTTTCTCCTCCTGCATCATATTTTGAGCTCATGGATTATCCAGTAGGGCTATTTTCACATCACTCTTCAATCTTCTGAAAACAAATTGAACTAACTGTTATTTTCTCTTTCCTATTCCAAAAGAATGATGTGTATTGTTCAGCCAAAATCAACACTTAAAGCTTCAAGTATGTTCCCACTCATCCTAACAACATTCTGAGAGACCTTGGAAACTAAGGATAGCGACTATAATTTGGCTGGGTGCGAAGGACGGAAGGCAAAGTTGTGTTTTATTTAGACTGTGAATTTCCCATTCTTCTCCTTGGGATTTGTACAACTAATAAGAGTTTATACTTCCTCCATCATTTCCAGCCCTACTTGGCAGAGATGGAAGTGGGAGAGGCAGAATAGAGTGATGGCTAAGAGAGCATGGGTCTCAGTCAGACTATTCTGGAACTTTCTAATAGGTCACCTGGGGCATAATATAACTATACCACATGAAGTTATCGTGAAGAATAAGTCAGGACAAACATTCGGCAGAGCCCCTGGCATGTCATGCTCAAGAACTGTTAACTACTGTCATTAATCTAATCGTTTAATCGGATTGCTCTGAGCCAGGCAGGAGCTCCTTGGGAGCAAGGTCCTAGCCAAACACAACCTGAAAATGCTTTCTATAGCCTGTGGGAGGTGCTGCCGCTCTATCCAAACAGAACTGCAGCCAGGCCTCCAGGAGGTAAAGGTCTGAATCCATGAGTGGAAAAGACTTCCAAGGAATTAGAACTTGAACTGCATTTCCCAGGGGGTGTCTCCTTTTCTTTGTGCCACCCTCACCCCTCCTTCCACCATGCCTGCATCTTCCGTCTCAACTCCCGTGAAACCCAAGCTGTGGCCAGCCCCAGCAGCAGGCTCAAAAGGAAGGGGACTCAGCCTGGAGGGGCCCTGCCAGGGCCCTTCCTGGAGCCCCAGGCAGACAAGCTGGTCTTTACATCAGAAGGGTGAGTGACTCCCTATGCCTCACACCCAGGAGGCAGTAGCAGTGGGACTTTGGACTTGGGCTGCGTGCAAAACCCCAGAGTTCTTACCTTGCTGGCCAGGTGGAGTCTGAGAAAGGAGGAATTGAGATACAGACTGTAAGTGGCCTGGAACCAGGACGAGCTGCTGCAGAGGATGGAGAGAGGTCATGTCCTGTGTGTGGGCAGAAGCACAATGTCATGTGGTTTACAAGCTGGCTCCCCTGGCTGTCCTGGCCAGCACCTCACCCAGCCTCTGGAGCTCCAGACTCCACAGCTGGTGGCCAGTGACTTTGCCTCCTCTGCTGTGTGTCCCCAGATTGTGGCATGCAGTCGCTACTCCCTGAATGCTGGTGTTGGTACAGTTTCTGGCCAGTTAAGTAATGTACTATTTAACTCTGGCCTCACAATTCAGTTTTTTCTGTTAGTCCTGACTCCCAACTGTAAACACCCCAAGGGTCGAGACTAGGCATTACCTATGTCTCAAAGGTTGACTCTAGAAATAGCATGCAATCCCAACTATCCACTTTGTTTTTTAATCTCATGTCACTTGATTGTCCTAAAGGTCAGGCTTTGGTCATTTCCTGCACTGAAGTCTTTCTGGAAGAACCTGGGGTAGGAGCTGGAGGTGGGAAGGGGGCAAGCTATTAGTTCTTAATAAAACATATTTGGTTAAATGCAAAGTCCATTTCCCTGGGTTTCTCTTACCAGCTCAGAATTTATAAATAGTGATACTTGTGGGCTCTTAGAGTCTTCTGGGACCCAGACCTTGTGGGCTCTGTGTCCCTACAGGACTGACCTGAGGCCTGAGCATACAGACTAAGCAAACCTCACTGAATGAGGAGGTGAAGGAAGAATTACAGATTCCAAGGACTGCTGACCCACACTGAGAAGAGGGCTGGCCACAGGGGCACCCTCTGAGACCTTGGCCGTCACTGTCTTGGGATGCTGTTCTCTCCCATGCCAGCACTCTGTTCTAGTTTGACTTTGACATACAGCCTTAGAGGATGCAGAGCAGTCCCACTGGGGACAGAAAGCTTCCCTAACTGTACAGTCACTGTCATCGCAGGATGTCCTGAATGTGGCTGAGCAGTCACCAGCAACATGGCTGCTAGGTCCTACTTTTTTTTGTCCCCCAGATATAGAACCCTGCTTCATCACATCCCTAGCCAGGCTTCACCTTTGCAAGGACTATTTTGGAACCTTACCACCTACCCAGGCCTCCTAGGCCTTCTTTCTCCCTTTGCTTCTAGGGGTCTCTTCAGATTAACATGGATTCCCAGAGTGCCGAGTGTGGGGGCCTATCGCTTTGCAGAGGGACTAAATTAAACTTACTGGCCTACTGAGAATATTAGTGTGGGCTGGCACCTACCCCAGACATTTGGTTTCCAGGCATCATGGCAGGTCCTTGACTCAGGTGGCATGGCCGATGGGAAAGGGTCTGCTGTAGGGAGTCGCCAAGGTCCTCTGTTTTAATCTGCAAGTGGAGGCAGAAGGAGGTGGTCTGTCCTGGGCCTCCCCAGGCAGACAGAAACGAAAATGTAGAGCAGACCAAGGCAGGAGAGGAGTGACCCATCTGGAGAAGAAAGAGCTAGCCCTGTGCCCGGGGCTGCAGCTTGGTTTTCCTGCCCGCATGTGCCTTTGGGCAAGGAGGGAGGTATGTTTACCAACTGGATTCTAGAGAACCGATCTACAAGATTGGGAGTCCACCTATGCTGACTGTCCCCCAACACGATGCTGGTGGCCATGCCTCCTGTAATTAATGCTCTTCCTCATTGAAATGAGAAGTCATTTCTTTTGAATTTTTTTTTAATAATATGGAAGTCTTCACAAATTTACTGTCATCCTTGTCATGCACAAGGGCCGTCCTAATCTTCTCCGCATCTTTCCAGTTTTAGTACATGTGCTGCCCAAGCGAGCACTATATTTGTTTTTTAAAACAGGTTCCTGTTATATAGCCTAGGCTGGCCTCGAACTTGCTATGTAGCCCAGTCTGACCTGCCTTAGCCTCTTGAGTGCTGGGATCACCAGCATGCATTACCATGGTAGGCTTAGATTAAGTTCTTGTAAATTCTGAAATGATGCTGTTTTCTTCTTAGAGGGCAGAGATGTTAGAATTTCTTTTATGGAATGATTGTGATCCTAAAAGGCATTTAATAACTCCCCACTTCAAAGAATAAAAAAATTGGCACTTCTGTATTATCTCCCCCGAAGTTGGTTTTTATTTTCATGCATGGACTTCTGTCCCTGAAACCCCAAAGTCTGGCAACTGCAGCTCTGGCAGAGTCTCTTTCCCTCTGTTCCTTCTTCACCATCCTCTCTGTTCTTAGGCTGCCTCTGCAGTAGCCTCATGACTCTGCATGGCTCTGGCGACAATCTTTCCTGTCTCCCTACAGGCAGGGACATGTCTCCCTCACAGCCACTGCTGCTGTTGCAACTCGAGGAGCCTGTGGTGGTTCCCAACTCTGTTCAGTTTCTGTCACTTCAATGACACAGGAAGCACCCACTCCCCAGCTTCCCAAGGGCCCCCAGACAGACAGGAAGTACTACTTAATGCCTGCCACTTCTCCACCCCAGAACAATCACCCTCTTTCAGATTTTTAGGACACCCACTGGGAAGGGAAACAAGTACCTTTAATTCATATCCTACAGCAAGCAGCACAGAATCTAGGCTACCCTTTGTATAAGAATTTGGTGAGACTCACTGAATAGGATGTCTGGTGGTTTCCTCCCCAAATGGCAACTCTTGACCATAGAGATTCTGCCTTAAACCTCTGTCTTAGTGTACACTGGGAATCATTGACATCCTGAAATCTCTCCTGTTGGGGTTAGTTTAACCCAAGTTCAAAATTGAGACTAAGAGTCAGATCTGGTGGTATATGTCTGTAATCCCAGTACTAGGGAGGCTGAGACTGGAAGATTGTGAGTTTGAAGCCAACCTGAGTTATATAGCGAGACCATGTCTATCTGTACTTGTGCTTAATCTCTACGGAAAATGGTGCTTTGGACCACTAAGGAAAGAAATCCCTTTGGTTGGATGTTAGCAGATCCTAGTGAGTGACGGTGGAAAATGAGGGAGCCAATAACCTCCAAATGCTACCTTGCACAAAGTGGGGACCCTAGGAATGGAAATTGGATAAAAGACATAAAACTCCCCATCCCCACAGAGCCTCCAGCAAGGCTCAGTGAGGAAAACACTGGAGCAACGCTGACACTATTTCCCATCCCAACTCTGACTAGTCTCCTGTGTACTCTTGGGCAGTTGTTCAGCCTCAGGGACTTGCTTTCCTCAGCTGTCCTATGATCCTGCATGGTTTTCCTCACTTTCAGTGGTGAAATGGAGCGACTAGTTCTAATTCCTCATATGGTTGGCAGACTTGCTAGCCCAGGTTGCTTGCAGCTCAGATGAAGCAGATTCAACAGAACACCGAGAAGCCCTGGGCACCCAGAAATTTATAAGAAGATGGCTCTTTCTGGCCCTCTGCTCATTTAAGGAAACCATTCTGGAGCCTTGGAAGCAAAGAGGAGGAAGCAAGAGAAATGGAAGTATGGTGTCACTATGGTGACAGAGAGTGACTCCGAAAACTCAAAAGGCATGGTGTGGCACCTGATGGTCTCCAGAGAGTTCCACTCTCCTGACCCCAAGCCCCTTGAGCTCTGCCCATCACACTGGACCCCTCTGTCTAAAAAGTGCTGGTGTTCTAGTTCTGTGCCAGAAATGAGTTTCCACATCCTAGATTCCATGGAAACATTTGTTAGTAGTTTTTTGTTTGTTTTGTTTTGAGACAGGATCTTGCTATGTAGCTCAGGCTGGCTTCGAACTATGAGCCTCCTCCTCAGCCTCTCAAGTGCTAGGATTACAGGGGTGTGCCACCACACCTAGCTGTTAACAGGTTTTTAAAAACTAGAAATTGATTGCTGATCATCTTCTTTCAAAACAACCACTACCAAAACAACCCTGAGGCTTGCTCTGAGAGGATAATCTACTTAAGCAAAGCCCTTTTAGCCAGTCTCCCATCATCCCCACTTTTCCTCTCTGTCCCACTCCTGCCCTAGAGCATCCCCATCCCAAAGGGGGCCAGGGGAAGCAGGGGGACATGAAAACCTGGAGATGAAATAGCACTGGTGGAACCACCTCAGGCAGCCCGGCAACGCTCCAGCTCAGAGGCAAGTGGTGGGTTCCTTTCCAAACTCATTATGCACCACGGAGAGATAAGAAGGTGCAGCTATGACAGAGCTCAAAAACATGTGCTCTGCCTCCAACCTGGCTATCTGTTGGGACTGGTGCCAGGTCTTCCTGCAACACCAGCACCATCATAAAAGAAAAGGCAGCCTTTCATCTGCGTCCTAGGTCGGTTGCCCCCACACTCTTCCTGGGGGTATGGGGGACACGCCCCACCTCCCAGTTCTGAAAACCAAGGGCTGACAGTAAAACGGTCCTTGGGTATAGTCTAGAGCTTTCTGGAAACTTTGTGTATTACTCTTCTGAGGTTTTGGATTCACCAACCTTTTACTCTTTCGTTTTTTATAATTCCTCACTCCCTGGGAACAATCCCAAACAAACCAAGTTGAAATGCAACAAAGATACTTTTCCAGATGACAAATTCTATAATCTCAGCTTTGCCAGGCTGGGGGTGTAGCTCAGTGATACAGTGCCTGCCTGGCAGCCACAAGACGGGGGCTTCCATCCCCAGCAGCGCAAAGTCAGTAAAATATAATGTAAAATAAAATCTCAGTTTGAGTGAGCAGGTGTCAGAAGACGCAAAGAAGGTACACTGACAACCCTTACTGCTGCCAGCATAATTGCTGGATACTCTCAGGGTCTAAAAAGCTAAGAAATTAAGAAAGTTCCCGTGATCCCCAAACTCCCTTTTCACAGCTGTGGAGTGGAAAAGGCTGGAACTTTTCCAGGCAACAGGGTGTTAACTGTGGATCTGCAAGATGAGATAGAGACTTCTGTAGGATCTCACTGACTTCTAAGGTGAGGACCGCGGGCGAATTGGATGAAAACCTGATTTCCCCTGTACTTGTGAAAACCCAACCAAACCCACAGCATGCCCCGAATCATGAAGACCGTGTCCAGGAGATTTTCTGGTAGTTCTTCTCACGCAAGTGGAATATTTCTCCGGGCTCAATTTGAGATGGCTAATCCCTGGGGGCAGGGGCCACCACAAAGTGCTCTGCCCTAGCCCAGCCATGGAACATCCTGTCCACTTATTAGTTTAGGATCTTCTCCGCCCACTGTGCTGTGCAAAGGTATTACACTGAGTCTTGGGCAGTGACCAGGGAGGTAAAAAGCTATCATCAGTGATTATCTTTTCTAATTCCAGTGAACTCCCTGACATCACCAGCTTTAGAAAGCAGTAGGCTCTTTCTAGAAGGAGGGGAAATTTTGGGGGGAAGGAGGAAGCCCTTTATATCTTGCTTTTTATATAGGCTCTTTTTCCCAGCCTGGAGGGTGCAGACAAGGACACCTTCTCATCTCACAGAAGCCCAGAGAGCTTCAAAGTTATACAACAAGCCAGGCACAGTTGGCTCATGCCTGTAATCTTGCTACTCAGGAGGCAGAGATCAGGAGGATTGCAGTTCAAAGCCAGCCAGGGCAAATTCTTCGTGAGACCCTATCTTGAAAATACTCAACACAAAACAGGGCTGGCAGAGTACTCAAGCATTAGAGTGCCTGCCTAGCAAGTGTGAGGCTGAGTTCAAACCCTAGTACTGCCAAAAAAATAACAATAAAAGTTATTCAGAAAGACACAGGCAAAACCTCATGACCATGGTCCCCTGACCCCTTGACCTCTTTTCACTAGACAATACTACAAATGTCCCAGAGACAGGAGAGGAGATGGACCATAAGTAACATACATGGTGGTGCCCTGGCCCAGATGTCCATTTGGGCCTCCCTGGTAACCGTCCATTTGGCAGTCATGGATTGGCGTGTGGTGAGGCCTGGGGTTCTTTTCTTTAGTTCCCTCCCCTGGACACTTTCACATGACCCTATGTCGGGGAAAACAGTCCAACACTAATGAATATATCACTGGTGATGAAAATGATCAAAGCTGCTGCCCTAGTTGCATAACTCGTTTGTGGAAAGTGTTTCAAAAACATTTCACAAGAAGGAGAATTTCAAAGCGTGAACATCTCCCAACCTGCCTTCAATTACAGGCAAGATTTTTCTTTCTCTGTTCCCCCCCACCCCCTACATTTCTTCCTAGCAGTGAGGAAGAGTTTCTGTTTTGTAACTGATCTGTAAAGGGTTGGCAAGTGTCTTCCTCGGCAAGACATTCTAAAAATATATTCCAAGTGGTGGAATGGGGCTAGCAGGTAACTCAGCTCATAGGAGCAGGGCTGAAAGTACCCTATTCAAGTCAATGTTGGCTGTGGGGTATTTGTGTATGTGTATGTAGTGCTGGGATTTGAACTCAGGGCTTGACATTCTAGGCAAGTGCTCTCCCACTATATCCAAGCCCAGTTGGATTTCTGCTTGGGAGACTCTCCTCTCTCCATAGCTCCTGTCTACTCCCTAAGAGCCCCCTGGCATTTGTCCCTCCCCCCGGTCCCCCCAGATGCCTCCAAGAAGTGGCCTCCTTCAGTCCCTGGTCTCTAGTCAAACCTTCTGTAGACCAGCCTGGGCTCACTTCCCTGAGCTCATCAAAATTCCACACAACACAGAGATGGGAGAGAGGAGGCACAGGACGCTTTAATACACAGCTGCTTCCTTCTTAGATAGACTGCTCTGAGAAGTGGC